GACAGTGACAAGTAAAGATGCTTGCTTGTTTTCTGATGTCCTGAATCAATACACAATGAAAAATAAAATCAAATTATCAGACAAACATAAGAACAGTCCTGAACTTTCTTGCATACTTACAAAACACCTCATCGTTCCATCTTGACCTGCACTCAGGAGAAGAGAGGACTCCATTGGATTGAACTTGATGCGGTTTACTGTTCTTTTGTGTTCATTAAAAACAAGTTCTAAAATAAATAACAACTCATATAAAATCAATAAATAATCAGCACCACTCTCTCTGAATTCCACTTCTTCAATTTGCGTGTGCTCCCACTTGTTAGGTTTGGACTCCTCATGAGCTTCACTATCATTCTTCTCATTTTCAACAGGAAATCCAATAGAAAACAACAGCATGTTGGGGTCTTATTGTATTTTCTGTCATCTGATAAACATCATTAATGGAGAACTTTTTCAAGAGTCTTTAATAAGTCAAAAAGGCAGTTCATTTTGTAAACGATGTGAATAATGCCTCTTCATGTTTTTTTTTATTCCCACCTTGTTTTTGTTTAGTAATTTTATTGAGATTCCATGTTACAATTGCACCATTTCCAGCTGCTGTTGCTAAAATATGATCTAGAAGAAAAATTGTATCAAAATATTCATCACAGGGATAATACACTAGGAAAATGGAAAATGATCCAAAAAAGATGGTTGTTCTTATGTCAAACCAATACCTTCTACAGGGTGCCATTGGACATCAGTTATACTAAAATTTAAATTAATTCTTCCAACTCGAAGATTGACTTTCTCTTGAAACTTGTCTTCRTCTAAGGTAATGACCTTGAAAACTGAAACATTTTCACATCAGCTAGATGGATATAGATTTCCCTGGTAAAAAACATAACGAACACAAAATTCCACCCCTCACAAATAGACCCCTTGCAGTTGGTGGGATTCCAACTCCAACTGGAGGACAAAACAATGGATTCTAGTTCCCCAAATCTTTTGTTTTGAAACTGCTTTGACATAATATGCAAGGGGAYGTATATATCTCTTTAACAACCACAATAGCAAATGCTAACAACTTTATTTGTTGTTGCCTTGATCAAATGGTTAGAATACTAACCACTTCTTCCAGCTACAGCTATTTGGGAACCATCTTTAGAGGAGGAAAATGCATTTATTGGTCCATCTACTGTAAAATATGTGGTTTTGGATGGCACTCCAGTTATACCTTTTAATATAATAAAGTCAAATTATAACGGTTATTTTTACAAAATTATGTCCAGACATGTACAATATTCCAACAAAATTATATACATTGTAACAACAAATACCATTTGTAAAGAAGCTCACAAAAATACTTGGACTGACAAACTACCCATACCCATTTTTCATGCTTGTTCTGAATTTCTTATATAAGGAAGATACCTGTACATGACAGGTTTTGAAATTTGAATTCAGACCTAATGTCTGGGTTTTACTTTGTAGTATGTCCAGTTGTTCCTTTTACGTAAAAGATCGAAAGTCTACATGCAGAAAATTGACATGCATTTTCTTTATTATACTGAGGTGCAAACCCTAACACTTTTGCCTTTGCAATCTAGTCTACCATTGACAAAATCACTTTTGATCTATGTATATTTGATAAAAATATATACAGTATTTCTCATAAAAAATTAAATTTGATATTTTTATTATATATTTCAAGAAGTCGTCCAGTGAAGCAATTATTTGTAGTTTGGAGTTCACACAATTAAACTTTCTGCATTAATGGTGTAGCTGGCCATACAGGTAATTAACTGTATAGAAAGGAAACAGTTAAAGCTTTCTTTCTTGACAGTTAATCAACTGTAAGACCTATGCATTCRAGGACCTACAGCTCTCAGACTCTCAGTTTAGAAACAAACAYGGCTGGATCTACATTGTAGTTGTTGTACCTTATAAGGGATGTTTTGCATAAAATGTAAATACTTTATCTGATGCATTTTGTAAGCTAAATAGAGCAGCAACCCTATATCGGCATTCTAGTCTTATTTATATGTAGTTTGGAGTCCACACAATTAAAATTTAGGCATTATAACGAGTAGTTAGCCATACAGGTAATTAAATGCATAGAAAGAAAACCAATAAATTTTTCTTTCTTTACAGTTAATCAACTGTAAGACCTATGCATCAGGGGCCTGCAGCTCTTCAGACTTGAATTTCATAAGACAACCTCATACTGGCATATTATTGACAGTTTAGAAATAAACAATACTGGATCTAGTTATTGCAACTTATAAGGGATTTTTTGCATAAAATCTATAAATACTTCATCCGATGCATTCTCGAAAGCTAAGAGAACCCGAAACCGCACTAGATTTGCATTCTAGCATGTAAGCTATGTAGTAAATTGGACTTCACACAATTACATTTCAGGCATTAACGTGTAGTTAGCCATACAGGTAATTAACTGCATAGAAGAGAAAACAGTTAAAGTTTTCTTTCTTAACAGTTAATCAACTGTAAGACCAATATTATCCCTGCCAAAACYTCACGATCAGATAACCAAGTGATTACAGACTGGCATAACTTCTATTTGCTAAGGAAACATTGTGCGAAAACAAGACTAAACAAAACTCAGAAGCCTTGATTTTCAAACAAGGCATTGAGGTTGGATCTTCGAGATCTAGAGCAGCTAATTCAAGATACCTCTTTCATGGATCTTTGCCATTTCTTCTGACGATGGACGTTCCACGACCTCCCACGACATCGAGGTAATTTATGTTAGGTATTCAGAGCACGTTAATCCAACCAAGGCCTTCTCGRGATTTACGACTCGTTTGAAAATATTGGAGGACTGGAACCCAAAAAATGACTTCAAAAATGTTATTGTTTTCTTCTTTCTTGACGATTTGATTGGTCAATACATAATATATGAAAACACGAAAAATCCCAAASGATTTGTTCATTTACGCAAGGCGAGAATAATTTTTGGGTTCCCTGTGTCTCTGCACTTACGACGCGATCGCCATGCAAGTAGTGATTTGGCCTACTCTGCATTGGTACTTTCTTTTAAGAAAAAAATCGTTTAGAAAAATCGATTTAGATTTTAAAAAATCTATTTCCATTTCCATTATATGTTTATTCCTTGTAAAACTGCACCTTTTCGAGCTTTTTCAGAAAGCTAAAAAGGTATTATCTAGTGCAGCACATTAACAGACATTAAAATAACGTTACAAGCAAACTTTGTTATTCACTGCGCGATTAAGTCTGGATGAATGATTTTTAGGTCTTCTTCGGTTCTAATACAACACGCGCGCGTGCGTGGGTCTCCTGGATCAGAGCGCGCATTGCATGYTTCATACCGCTCTTGCTTTTTTAAAAAGAATAGTTACACCAAGTTATGTATTCATCTCACTTTATTATTTTTAGCTGAATTAATCCACTCAGTTTTGGATTTGGTTTCATGCATTGTCTGTAATCGAGTTGAATAACTCTACGACCTCTTCGAGTTGAATAACTCTACTAACTCTTCGGGTTGAATAACTCTACGAGTTTTGCTTAGCAATATTTTTCCTAATATCAGCCAGTTTAGTTTCATATCCCTGATATCCGCACTCRAMACAAKCACAACTAGTAATCAMAACATATTCAAGTCTTTTCATRGTTCCATCACGACATCGCAGCAAACTACTMGTGCTGTTCAACTCTCTTGGCTTGCAACACTTGCACGAGACCTCTAGGTGAGCATTTGTGATGTTAGCGACGATACTTGACGAACACCTCCCCTCACAGGACGTTTGTCGTAGAGGCTGGATGCTTGTACAGTCATCTTGGTCCTTGAACGAAGTCAACGTAATCTTCACATTGCAAGTCAGCTTGCTGCCTGTCATGTTATTTGTTTTGGTAGGATGAGGTGCATTGGTAGAGGTTTCTGTGGTAGAAATCCCAGTACTTTGTCTTGATGCTCGCTGTATTGTAGGTTTGGACGTTCGAGCTACAAAAACACAGTTTAACAAAGCTTATTATTTGGTTGAGTATTGGTAAAGAAAATAAAGACATCTGTTGACCTACTCGAAAAAATGGTGCCAATTTTCAAGTTAAGTGAGATAAGGGTTTTACCTTGTGATTGACAGTAGCAGCAGTCATCAACAGGCTGCACTAACTGCTCTCCCTGTAGGAAATAAAATACACAATGTTATTGATGGATTATAGGCCTCCGCCATAGGCCTTTATTGAAATAGCATTACGGATTGCATTGTGGTCTAGATTCGGTACAAACATCTTTTGTTCGTATTGTACTGGAGCTAGACCACAATGCACTGCGATTTTGTATTTAAGAAAAGGTCTATCCAAGATGCTGACTTACCTGTGGGCAAACGTATATATTGCAGAGCTTGCCACACTTGGCAGAACCACGAAGACACTTGCAAAGAGTACACTGGCCTTCGGTCCAAGTTTCATTGCTCTRAAAGAATTCAAGAACASATTTKTTAAGTATTATAGTACATTTTATTCAAATCCATCACHGATTCGCATGTAGTTCTCCAATTTGACCAAACTATATCGCATCAAAAATGTAAGCTGGACTTTAGAGAGCAAAAGGAACCTACAACATTTGGTAAAATACACTGATTTCTGATTTCGCGTTGTTTTTTCACCTTCAATTAATTGTATAAAGAAACCTTAGTTTCCTGTTGTCTGTCTCTGTCTTATAGAAGTCATTTAGACTTTTAAAATTGGTTTGAGTTTTTTTGACTGGAAAATCGTACATCATAAAAATAAAACACAGGAAACTGCGCATGCCTCATATCTCAACTCGCGCACCATAAAAATCAACGCATTAGCACGAACGGGTTTYGCTGTACGTTGAACGTTACACTGAATGAAAATTACAAACCTTTTTGATTGTGGTGTTGTGAAGACAATGACATTGATTCAATGGAACACACGTAWATCCATTGTCGTAYGAACCACTAGGACACTGACATCCAGACACACAACTMGTACATCGCTTGGTTTGGTCAGTACAAGTCTTGTTACAAGCACATTGAGAGTATTCCAAGTTTGCAGGACAAACTAAAACAAGTTAGAAAGTTGTAATTATGTTGCGATAATTGCAGATGATGTAAATTAAGAAAATGATTACATTTCAAAATGCTTGACAATTTSATTTACCAGTTTTGTTTCTGCAAAAGCAGCACTGCCCTGGAAGGTCTATTAGTTCGCTTCCCTTGAAAATAAACAGTCATATTAGCCATAGGCTCAGTAAATTCATTTATTACTTTTGGTACTGTTGGTAAATCTTGCATGTTCTATTAAAAGATTTTAGTCAACTTCATACCGTTGGACAGGCATTGATGTTACATGTCTGTACGCACAGAAGTTTATCTTTAAAACACAAGCACTTTGAGCAAGAACCATTGTCAAACGATTCTCCTGACTGGAAAAACATACGATAAGAAGTCATTTTCATCCTTCAATCTTACTAGAGCCTTTCATTCTTTATGTTACCTTATAAAAAGTCCCATTAAAAAAGCATGGGCATCCCTTTGAAGGTATCACACAGCTTCCATTGAAAGACGCATACCCCTGAGGACAATTACAGCCGGGTCGACAAGTGTTTATACTGCAGGGGATGGCGGTAGGAGACCTCTTCCTGGCCAGCTCGTCACAGGTAGGTGTACACGAACAATTATTCCAGTTACAATCTATTGTAGTTGCTACAAGAAATTCATAAATCCGTGAAGGTGAAGGGAAATTAAAAAAGAAATCCTTCCTGGTCAAGTCGTCACATGGTAGGTTTGCAAGCGTGTAGTGATGCATAAAACATGTTGAACGGGAAGACAAAGGAGACGAAGGCAAGAAAGAGAATGAATATATAGACATGAAGTGTTAAAACAATGGAAAAGAGCATTTCTGGCGACAAGCAACAACAACAACGGTAACAACAACAATAAAAAAAAAAACAACAACAGCAACGAGTAATAAAAGACGATCCAATATCAAAACTAACGTTGTACAGTGGTGTTGCTTGGACTCATGGAAGTCTCCAATGTTGTTGGTTGTCTTCCAATGGTACTAGGGCTTGAGATAACTGCAGCGTTGGATGTCGTGACATGCTTAACTGTTGTACTTTCCGTTGCTGGTTGCGTGTTTTGGTAATCTGGCTGTGTCGTCCTCGGGATAGCGGTAGTAGCAGTTGTTCTTTGATTATCTTTCGTTGTAGGTTCGATCACATCAATGACTTGGGTAATATCAAAGAAAACAGTCAGCAATTTAATACTCGCCAAACTAACCATAACGCGGTCTTAGTTGGATTGTTTCATAGACTTAGAGAAGAAATCAAAAGAAATAGTTATACTTACTGGAAACACATTTACAACATTTTCTTGGATGTACTATGTACAACTTGCGTTGTCCCTGTAATTCAGTTTAATCGCATTTTATTGCACGTGCAATACTTGTAACAATGACAATGATGAATAAAACATCAGTTCTATGAAAAATTAACCCARTGCCAACATACCATTGGTTAAGAATCTATAGAGGTATCAGAACCAGTTTACCTTTGGACACGTTGTACTGCAGACTTTGAAACACTGAACAGAGACTTCAGAGAACGTATATGGAGTGTGGAGACAGAAACATTTCTGACAACGGCTCTGGCTCACTTTTGATTTCACCTGAAAGATAAAGATACGTGAATGTTTTTGATTTCTCTACTCGGTGTAGAAAACCACTAACAACCAACAGATGAAAGGTAAAATGGTAGTGTTTACTATAAAGAATCTGGTGTGTAAATTAGTCGAATTCTTTGAGTTGRACTGAGAGAAGTGAACATCAAAAGCATGAATATCACAAAATGACGACAACTTTTCTGTGCTGTACTTCATAAGTTGTAAATAAATCTGAAATAGCATTTATCAAATAAAGGTTGAAAAAAAAAAAAAAAAAGACGACAACTTTTCTCGAAAAAAATGGTGATATTTGAATGGGTTAGGACCGAAAATAATTCTGGTAATAAAGCATGAAAGCTATCATCGGAATGGGAAAGGATTATTGTGAATGACAGAAAACAACCCCCTACCCTTTTCGGGCGGCTTAATTTCTTTTTAGGTAAACACCAGTAACAATAAATAGAATGCAATTAAATATTTACCCTGTATTTCGAGCCCTTATGTACACATGGCGGTAGACAGGGATCAGGCATTGGCATCACACAGTAGTCGTTGATCTTGTAGGTATTGACCATGCATTGACAGCTACCAGGACAAGGCCTTCCTGGACATGTTACTTTACCATCACAATTGACGATACATCGACAGCTTTGTGGACAATCTGCAACATTATGCAGGTCTTTTTAATAGTATTTTAATTAATAATGTTAATTTAAATGTCAACTCTGGATATTTYATAGTTGRGTAACCATGTACAAAAATATTTGMAGACGAGTCTCMAGGGAAACAGTGGWTAATATTTTGATTTATTCTTTTKTTTCCCCGGACCACGTTTACAATTTCAATTTTGTACATGGTAACTGAATCAAAATATCTAAAGTCAAGTTGCAGTGACTGTTATAGTCGTGGTTACAGACAAAGCCTTCTTAACTCTACAAATCATTTGGGATTTAYATAATTATATCAAATYWCATACTTGGATAGCTTATTCCTTGCGTTGTTGTTGGCTTTTTCTTRGTTGGAGACGGCGTTRTTGTCTTTCCCACCGACGAGACTGAGTATTCTGTAGTCGGCGTAGTTTCTGTTTGTGTCGCTTGAGTTTTCAATGTGGTAGATTTATCTGGTATTTTTGTGGTCGTTGATAATTTTGCTTCTGTCGTAGATTGTCGATAGGTCGTTGTTGTGATCGGGTGTTGTGTCTTTGTTGTCAAAGGAGATTGTTTTGTTGATTTTGGAGTCTTTGYRGTGGAYGATGATGTTTGTAACGTCAWTGTCGGTGTTTGTTTTGTTGTGACCATTGTTTTCTGTGAAGGCACTACTGTTGTAGTTTCTGTTGATGGCTTTGTTTGGGTTGTTATTGTTTTAGGTGTTGTTCTTTTCGTTGTTGTTGTTGTTGTTGTTGTTGGTAATGCTGTTGTTGTTGTTTTTGTTGTTGGTGGTGTACTTGTTGTTGTTTCTGTTGTTGTTGTTTTTATTGTTGTTGTTGCAGTTGTTACGGGTGGTGGTGTTGTTGTTCTCTCTGTTGTTGTTGCTGTTTGAAGTGTTTTTCTTGCTGTTGTTACTGGTGGTAGTGTCGTTGGTCTCTCTTCTGTTGTTGATGGTGGTAGTTTCGATGCTGCTGTTTTTATTGGTGTTAGTGCTGTAGGTGTAGTAATTGTTGTTGTTGCTGTTGCTGTGGTTGTCGTCTCTGTTGTTGTTGATTTTGCTTCTGTTGCTGGCGGTAGTGTTGTTGTTGTTGCTGCTGCTGAAGTTGTTGTCTCTGTCGTTGCTGCTTCTGACGGTGGTGTTGCAGTTGTTGTTATTACTGGCGTTGCTGTTGTTGACTCTGTCGTTGTTGTTGCTGCTGCTGTTGTTGTCTCTGTCGTTGTTGCTGCTGGCGGTAGTGTTGCTGTTGTTGTTACTGCTGGTGGTGTTGTTACTGTTGCTGTCTCTGTCGTCGTTGCTGTTGTTACTCCTGGTGTCGTTGTTGTCTCTGTCGTTGTTGTTGCCGCTGCTGTCGTTGTTGTCTTTGCTGCTGGCGGTAGTGCTGTTGTTGTTGTTGCTTGTGGTGTTGTTGTTGTTTCTGTCGTCGTCGTCGTTCTTATTGTTGTTACTCCTGGTGTCGTTGTTGTTGTTGCCGCTGCTGTCGTTGTTGTTTCTGACGTTTTTGCTGCTGGCGGTAGTGTTGTTGTTGCTTGTGGTGTTGTTGTTGTTTCTGTCGTCATCGTCGTTGTTGTTGTTGTTGTTACTACTGGTGTTGTCTCTGCCGTTGTTGCTGCTGGCGGTAGTGTTGTTGCTGTTGCTTGTGGTGTTGTTGTTGTCTCTGTCGTCGTCGTCGTTGTTGTTGTTACTGCTGGTGTTTTCTCTGTCGTTGTTGCTGCTGCCGGTAGTGTTGTTGTTGATGCTAATGTCGTTTTTGATGTCCCAGTTATTGGTGATGTTTCGCCAGTAAGAGATGACATATGTGTACTAGCAGTATCCGTGGTTATTACAGTTTCTTTTCCTGTAGAGGTGGTCGGTATAACGGTACCCTG